GTTTGTGAAACCCATGACCACGGTACAAGCCTCGAATCATGCAAACATCGGTACAAACATCATCATCTATAATGCATTCGATCACGAGAATCCCACTCGTGAAAAGGGACACTACTCTGCATAGCTTATTGAGAGGCGTCAGGCGACTGGGCAAAAGCTGTCCACAAACAGCAGTATGTTTTGTGTATTTCTAAAAGGGACTGAATTAGTCCCTGAGTGTAGCATATGCGTGAGTTAACCTTTAATTTCACGCCACTTTTAGCACTATTCCAGCAATATCACGGCAGGGGACACCAGAAATGGACTTCGCACATTGTACTCCTGTGGGGAATCGAACCCGGGTCTTCGGCGTGACAAGCGGACGAGTTCACTAGGCTACCCCATCGCTCTGTGTATCATATGAGCATTATGAGTAGATTGTCACGAATCCGTGACATATCTATCTGTGACTTACAATCAAATTCCCACGGAACAGACAATATGTAAAGAAAACCTGATGTTTAATTCACTGCTCATAAGGATAATGGGTACTCTGGTTCAATACAGACGCATGAACTGGCCAACTGATTTACACTTCCAGCAACGATGTTCGTAATTACATGATTACATGAATCGCGCCAGTGCACCAAAATGAGACATGCACGTATTGCATACATAGGATCAATAGTAATAAACTCAGAGGTCATGATGACCTTTATGAACTGTTCACTAACACACTTTCCGAAATGACTTTCCGGGCGACAAAGATATACTCGTTGTTCCCAAACTTAGTCTCCTCCTAAGTACCAAAGTTATATCTTGGCGTAAGCTTATCTTTACGGCCTGTCACTACGACCGATGTAAGATGTAAGGAGGTTCACGGGTTTCCAAGTTTTCTGGCCACGTTAAAAAAAACTCTGGGGCTTTACATTTAAAATAAATTAACAAAAATGAACAACATTGAGATACATACAAGAAAGAGGACGATATCACAAACATTTTGCTGTCTTTCTCGACACATTCTGTAGGTAACCTTTAAGCATAGTATTATGCTATTTGTGGTTATAGTTATAATTAGTTAATTAGTTATATTGTTAAGGATTTCAGCATTTCCAAGTAATGATTTGGGGTGTTGATTGGGAAAAAAACACAAGATTCACATACAGTCGAACACTGTTGTGTATTTTCTAGGTACGCCACAGCGGCAAATGACTAAATACCAGCTTTTGCTTCGAGACAATGGTACGTTCGTCACATCAAAATTCGAGACAATGGTGTTTGACTGCAACATACCCTTTACGTAGTAGACACAAGAGGTGATTAGGACGGACAACGTGTTGTTTGCGAGACAGATTTGGCCATTTGTCCTCTACTTGCCTTTGTTTTCCATGACGTCAGCAGTCCTCGAAGTGTCACAGCCGCGTTGTGTATCTGCCATCACAAAGGTTGCGTTAACGCATTCAGCAATAGCGTTACGGTCAATATGTATCAGACATAAACAGTAGTTCTTTAATATCTTTTTACAAGAGATCAGGTAAGATGCAGCTCAATGTTTGACGCAGCTGAGGCCATACTGAGGGATCACTTTGTGACTAGATATTAGACGCAACAACGGCCCTACAGAGGGATCACTTTGTGACTAGATATTAGACTAGAAAAGTCCGTGCAGAGGGATCACTTTGTGACTAGATATTAGACACAGCGAAGGCCATACAGAGGGATCACTTTGTGACAAGATATTAGACGCAGCAACAGCCCTAAAGAGGGATCGCTTAATGACTAGATATGAGACGCTGCTAAGGCAGTTGAGAGGGATCATTTTGTGACTAGATATTAGACGCAGCAAAGTCCGTACAGAGAGATCACTTTGTGACTAGATATTAGACATATAAATGTCCGTGCAGAAGGATCACTTTATGACTAGATATTTTACGTAGAAGGGTCCGTTCAGAGGGGATCACTTTGTGACTAGATATTAGACGTATAAAGGTCCGTAGTGAGGGATCACTTTGTGACAAGATATTAGACGCAGCAAAATCCGTACAGAGGGATCACTTAGTGACTATATATGAGACGCTGCTAAGGCAGTTGAGAGGGATCACTTTGTGACTAGATATTAGACGCAGCAAAGTCCGTACAGAGGGATCACTTTGTGACAAGATATTAAACGCAGCAAATTCCGTACGACAGGGATCACTTTGTGACAAGATATGAGAGGCAGCAAAGTCCGTACAGAGGGATCTTTGTGACTAGATATGAGAGGCAAAAGAAGTCCGTACAGAGGGATCACTTTGTGACAAGATATTAGATGTAGACAAGTCCGTGCAGAAAGATATTTAAGATAGAAAAGTCCGTACAGAGGGATCACTTTGTGACTAGATATTAGATGCGCAAAGCAAAAGTCCGTACAGAGGGATCACTTTGTGACAAGATATTAGATGAGACGCGTGCGAAGGCCCGTAAAGAGGGATCACTTTGTGACTAGATATTAGATCACTTTGTGACTAGATATTAGACGTAGAAATGTCCGTGCAGAAGGATCACTTTATGACTAGATATTTTACGTAGAAGGGTCCGTAAGGAGGGATCACTTAGTGACTAGATATTAGACATAGAAAAGTCCGTAGTGAGGGATCACTTTGTGACAAGATATGAGACGCAGCAAAGTCCGTACAGAGGGATCACTTAGTGACTAGATATGAGAGGCTGCTAAGGCAGTTGAGAGGGATCACTTTGTGACTAGATATTAGACGCAGCAACGTCCGTACAGAGGGATCACTTTGTGACTAGATGTTAGACGCAGCAAATTCCGTACAGAGGGATCACTTTGTGACAAGATATGAGAGGCAGCAAAGTCCCTACAGAGGGATCGCTTTGTGACTAGATATGAGAGGCAGCGGAGTCCGTACAGAAGGATCACTTTGTGACAAGATATTAGACGTAGAAAAGTCCGTGCAGAAGGATCACTTGATGGCAAGATATTTAAGGTAGAAAGGTCCGTACAGAGGGATCACTTTGTGACTAGATATTAGACGTAGAAAGGTCCGTAGTGAGGGATCACTTTGTGACAAGATATTAGACGCAGCAAAGTCCGTACAGAGGGATCACTTAGTGACTAGATATGAGACGCTACTAAGGCAGTTGCGAGGGATCACTTTGTGACTAGATATTAGACGCAGCAAAGTCCGTACAGAGGGATCACTTTGTGACAAGATATTAGACGTAGAAAAGTCCGTTCAGAAGGATCACTTTATGACTAGATATTTAACGTAGAAAGGTCCGTACAGAGGGATCACTTTGTGACTAGATATTAGACGTAGAAAAGTCCGTGCAGAGGGATCACTTTGGGACTAGATATTAGACGTAGAAAGGTCCGTAGTGAGGGATCACTTTGTGACAAGATATTAGACGCAGCAAAGTCCGTACAGAGGGATCACTTTGTGACTAGATATGAGAGGCTGCTAAGGCAGTTGAGAGGGATCACTTTGTGACTAGATATTAGAAAAAGTCCGTACAGGGGGGTCACTTTGACTCTAGACATTAACTCTAACTGTTGTTCAACACGACGTTTAATCCAGTACACTCATTCCCTGCGTGAAACATTATCAACTGCCACTTAGCTCAACCCTTTTCCACACAATATGCAAGGCTCTGTGATCTGCAAATATTGTTCTTTTGTAAATGTGATATTGGGTTTACGAGGAGGTAGGACAGATACTAGCGGTTACATACTGTCAGCAAAGAGACAAATACACAGGGAAGGGCTGCATCCAGAACAATTATGCCAATTTTTTTTTTGATTCAGACATTCGTACAAGCATTTGTATGTGCTATTTAGATAGGATTTCGCGTGTCGATGGGTTAGGTTTTGGTGTACATACATCGAACCACCTTGTATCCTTTCTGCTCAGTATTAAACAAGAGTAAGTTAGTCTCATACTTCTGCCATCCCTGATTGGTTTGTTATTTAACGCCGCACTCAGCAATATTCAAGCTATATAGCGGCGGCCTGTAAATTATCGAGTCTGGACCAGATAATCCAGTGATCAACATAATGAGCATCGATCTGCACAATTGAGATATTATGACATGTGTCAACCAAGTCAGCGAGTCTGACCACCCTACCGTTAGTCGGCTCTTACGACAAGCATGGGTTACTGAAGATTAATTCTAACCCGCATCTTCACGGGTTTCCCTGACATAGACGTGACGTAGATATGACCAAACGAACATGAGTATGGTGCTGTAAAACTACAATCTGAGAAAACAACGCAATGCATTGTACTGAATCAAAAGGGAATTCCTGAATCTTTATTAGTATACAATGCGAGGCAGAAAGCCTCGTCTGCAATCAAACATTGAGGAACGACACAAGACTTGATTCATAGTATTGAACGAGAATGGCATCCTCAAGTGACTGAGAGGACTCGATATTTAAGGCACTTGTGATTTTCAGATAACACTTATTTGCATTTTCAAAATGCTGAAGATGATAATTTACAATAGCGACAATCCGTATTGATCGATTTGTGTATTTGTTCATAAATGTTATCGTAAAACGACCTTCAGGGTAATGCAGGGGGTAATGAAAAAATATGAATGCAAACAAGGAAAAACAACAACAATTTTCTGTAACGCAAGTTTATCTGCAGATTATTCGTTTACAAAGCAATCATACATGACACGAGAAAATAAATGAGATTAGTTGCTGGAAAATAACATTCGCGCCCAAGGCACTCACTCAATTTGAAAGAAGATACAACAATCGGTCAAAGACATTATACATTTCTGTGGTTTTTAGCAAACATATATTTCTGTACTTACATACTTAAACCCGTGAAGGTCCGGGTTAAAATTGGTTTGCAGCAACCCATGCTTGTCGTAAGAGGCGACTAACGGGATCGGGTGGTCAGGCTCGCTCACCTGGTTGACACACGTTGCGTAGATTGCGTAGATCGATTCTCATGTTGTTGATCCCTGGATTGGCTGGTCCAGACTCGATTATTTACAGACCGCTGCCATATAGCTGGAAAATTGTTGAGTGCGGCGTAAAACTAAACTCGCTCACTCACTCACTTAAAGACACATATATGAGATAATCTCAAAGCATCTGTTACCGTTGAATCATTAAAGGTGAAAAGATATTGTTAACTTTCGAGGTCGTTGTATCCAAGCACGGATGTGTTACATGTTATGAATCATATTATAAACTAACCGTAAGAAGCCAACTTCAGTTTTAGGAGACTGCCTCTTAAGCGGTGACTGTATCAGTGAACAGTTCAGTATTAAAACAAGCTTCAGAAAACAAAGTTTACGTATACAACGTATTTTGTGAAACAAAATTGATAAAAAGTAGTAAAATGTTATTATGAAAATGTAAGAATATCTTGACCGCTATACATCAACAACTACGTATCTGAAATACTGTGTATGCATAACCATTGTGAAAATGTTTCAGAAATATTTTGACATAAATATAATACCTTTATTATTCCCTGCACATGCTAAAACTATCTTACCATTCACATGGTCAATTTTCAGTCAAAGGTTTGGAAGTAGATTTCGAATGTACAGAATTGTGAACAAGGAAGGTATTTCCTGTATGACTGGGATGTTTCTAAAAGATGAAAGTTACATAACAGTGGACAAGCAATAGTAAACCGAAGGTTGGAACAACAAACAGTGTTTTATATAATTTAGATGGAAAACAATACTTTTAATGAATGTGGTATTACACCGCGTTTAGAAATATTCCAATATATCGGTGCGTGTGACCAATTCCTCTTCAATTCCACATGTAACACTGAACACTGAATGAGCATATAAAGAGAATCGTGGTGTCCATCATTTGGTGGCGAATGTGTTTGTAGACTGCACCTGCTGGCAGGCCAACTCGTACAGGTATCTGTAGTCCTCCTGAATAACAAACAAGAGGATCGAAGAGAATTGTTTGCAATCCATGTCAGCATTTATAATTATTATACCTATCCATAGAAACATGAGAGTATTGATTTTAAAGGAACACGAAGCAGTTGATCGAGTCCTTGAATCACGTTTCGCACTGATCTGTGCTTTGTCAAAACCATACGCGTTCTTTACTTACCTTTGCATGGGCATGTGGCTGATATGATCGACGTGCAGAATACTTTCAACTGTTCTCGAGTACATGGTATCGTCGTTAATTTATAGTGAATTATTAACATCTCCTTAGGATATATATTGAACAGCATAACAAATTCTGCTTTGAGCAGATATTTGCAGTTTTTGTTTTCAGGAACCTGTTAAACGTCTATGATATGTTTTAATTCGGGCTTTCTTTCACGTCAAACCTACCGCCATGGTTTAACTGACATTGTGTTCAACATCTCCATCTGAACATATAAAGTATGCTCACCACACAGGTGATGGGTTGCCCATTTCTACACTGTATCTCCCTGACTGTCAAGTAGATGTCCACTTCCTTGTCCAGTCTCAGGCTGGTCAGCACACTGACTGCAGCAGCAAAGAGGCTGCACTTCCTGGGATCGTCTCTGGTGTATAGTATATTTGATAACAGTATATTTGATAATGGGCGCAAACATATTCATTATCTGTAAATCTTTATATTTCCTGTTGGGGCCCTGGCATGTTGGACAGTCATCAGGCAGACAGTTTATCGAAAACAACTATCTCGGTGTATCAGATGTCCAATAATGAATTATAATTCGTGTTGTTTTCATGGCGTCATGCAGAAACAAATGGCTACATGCACTGAAGGTGTAAACGTTGCCTGCATATGCTACGTGCACACCATCTACTGACTATTCAATATACCTGAGAGACGGAGTCACTTTCACCTGTCATAACTGATGGCCTATGAGCTTTCGAAACGTTTGTGTAACGGACATACATTCAAGAACAGCGACCTACCGACACTGGAGTATGACGGGATGGGGCCCACTGATGTGTTGACGTTCAGTCAGGATCTCTACGAGCATCAGGAGATTGGCTTTGTCAAAGTGACGTTCTGTAGATGGGGAGTTGAAGTTGTAGTTGACGATAGACGCCACACCTGATCCGCTGTCCTGTAACAAAGGAACCAAACCAACACATGATCAATCAACCATGTCCTGTGGGACAAAGTATATTAGTGGCTGTGGGTTGCCAAGAATAACGACACACCCGTGTTAAAGAATTGTCCATACCCAAAATGTCTGCATCGTCTTTGATTCGATGGTTAGTTTCATCCCCGTCACTCCTACAGAAACGTCATCAACGGAGTTCAAGGTCACGTGAAACTCTCCAAATGTCAACGACGTGCCAACGTCCTTTGGCATGGCATCAGAAGGATTCTAAGGATGAAGGTAAAATCAAATCTACAAGGAGATCCGTAATTCACAAGTGTCCATTAGGCTAACACTTACAAAACTAAGATATAGCTATAACATGTTATTTCATGTTGATCATGTCAGTGCGCAGTGGGAAGCGTAATTTTGATGCCATCTGTGGCAAGGATTTCTAATAATTATTGAAAGGACTTCGTTGTATGAATATCCATCGAGTTTTTCAGGGCCAAAGTATTGACACATTGTCAAATCTCTCAGACATAACAAGTGAACATATTGGTATTGATAAGCAATAAGGGTACCCGATAATTTCATTTCTCATGATATGCCTTGAGACCTAAAATGTACATTATTGTTACCTGGCTGATGGTGATGATGGTACCAGAACTGTTCCCGCATACCAGCTGCCATAGTTCTTCGGGAGAAGGCTCCTTAACCACTCCGATGTTGAGGAAGCCCTTCTTGTTGAAATACGACTTTGAAAGCAAATAATATATTTTCTTCATCCATACAATTGGCAGATTTGGATTTATTTCGTCCTGCATTTGCTGTAGATAATATGTATAACAAACAAAACAAAGAAAAGTAAACAAAATGATTGTAGAAATTATTCGCTCAATACATACCGGCAGAGGTGTTATATTGAAATTGAATAGATCATCACCTACAAAAGAAAACCATGTTAACATATTTCCTCAAGACATACTAGTAGAATATGTGTGAACGAAGGGAATGAAACAATAAACCCCGAAAACTTTGTATGAAAGTCCACACCAACATATTAACATAATCGTTCTTCAAGTAAATTGTCATTCCGTAAGAAGTTACTTTTGATGACACACTTGATACATTTTAGATTTTGACAAATATGTTTACCAAGATAATATTGTGTTAAAGGCTTTAGAATTTAGCTGCAAGGCATAATTTGTTGTACCATCTTCTTGTGTGGGATCTGGCTTTGCGTCAGTCTTCTGGTCTCTCTGGAGTGACATCATAACTTCCAAATTCTGGAATAAAATTAATATCCACATTCAGGACATATTCAAGTATTCGTTAAACTTTGATCCTACCGTAAGATACTTTGGTTTGTTAATTATTTTCTTTACATAAGTAAATTTGTTTAAAGAATCGTCACGTAACACTATAGATTTATCCCAAAACGTCACCAGAATCACCTCGTATTCCTCCTGGATTACGATGTTGCCTGCTTCCAACATAGCTGGCAGTTCTCTAGCCACTACCGGCGAATCCCTGCTGAAGAGTGCCTCGAGGACAGCCCAGTGGAGGAACTTATACTGTCCCTAGAACAAACACCAACACCAACAATACTACATGTGCCAGGAGAACCTTTTATTTATTTAGAAACACCCACAAACATTCGCAATACATTATATACTAATATGGATCAGATGGTTTATGCCCAGTGTGTATAGAACATCAGTGCAAAAGAACACCCAGTATTCCCCAGAAACCAATTCCATTTAGCATGAAGTACATGGAATGGAAGAATTCGTTTACTCAGTTCCTGTCTGGAGAAGTCATGCCTACTACACCTGTGTCTGCACCATGTTCATCCTCTGGTCCCTCATGTTGAGGACGACGATGAAGAAGTTCACTTTCTCCTCCACAAGCGCCTCATTCATCAAGATGTCAAGACCGATGAAAGTACCTGTCCGACCCACTCCAGCACTAGTGGACAAACAAACGTATTTCTGTACCACTGGTTGTGTTCCTATTTTAGACAACGTGTTAACCCAACAGCAGTATTACTCCTTCTTGTAACGTTTTGCGAAAGCAAACATTTATGGATGTTTACGTTTCGGTGTATATTCTTATTCCTTCACCTCATCCTCTTTATTTTGAGGAACAAGACATTTCAGAGAATGTTAACGTTTGTACTCCTTCATCAGGTGTAGGAGTAAGAATATATTCCGAAACGTACATGTAGTGTTCCTCAAAACAGAGAAGGTGACATCCATACATCTTTACCTTGTGTATTACTTCTAAATGCCGTTTAAAGAACTTACTTTTATTTAGATTTGAATATTAACAATATCTGTTGCAATAAAATTTGGTCCTCATGGGTTGAACCGATTATAGAAGCCTTAAGATTCGCCGATACTTCTTGGAACGTATTGCCTGCTTTGTCTGCCTTTTCTCCCACTATTGTCACACTATTAAAGGAATCGGAAGATTAGCCTAACTCACCCTATATCTCAACTAATGAGGTTACAAGATGTCCATGTTGCCGAGCTTTGTGATGTATTAATAGGATCCTTATTCAGTGAATATTAGAAGGAATTTAAGGACTTTATATAATCAAGTTGAGTCAATTTCTGGTCTTAACAACCAGCACCAAGACCATATGCATTAACACTACCAACAACCTTGATGGATCAACGTTTATCTTTCACATATTTCAGATAAATTATTTTTGGTGTTTTGGAATTTGTCAAACTGCATGCAATTTCTTTTATTTCGACATGGCAAACACATTGTAAAAAGCAAATACGATACAGTGATACCTGCAGTGGACAATTATTGGTCCTGCTTGTCCGTCATTTTGCTTGCTGCATATGTTGACATGTCTCCAGAAATTGACGAGAGAGGGCGCCGTGGGAACTCCATGGTCTGGCCACGAGGTGTAGTGGTACTGGGTCACTTCACGCCGAGTGTCCTCCTGAAAATATGCCACTTATAAAAACTGAAAGATGACAATAGGAAAGGTGACGCAATGGCGATAACTCAATCTGTTGTAATCCCTTCAAGGTATTGAACATCTATGAACAGCTGAGTTTATACTAATTTTCTCAGGGGCATCCTGAGTCAGTCGACGAACGAACTGATAATAATTCATGGTTTGTCGACAGCATACCAGTGTTCTTTGATTTGACCGAAATATTCAAACGTCTCAGACGTACGTCTCTTTAGCATGGGTACCACCCTGGTTATGTCTACACGTGACATTAGACTCTCCCTTACCAGAGAGATTTGGACTTTGACTATCAAACGTACCTTACGGTGATGCAGCAAGAAGATGCGAACTGTGTAGTAGTGCACGTTCTATAGACTTCTCCTGTGTCACAGTGATGTTTCCATAACTACCACGTTCTCCTTTCCTAGCCAATACATGTGGCACTTGTGCTGAAACGAAAGTAACACTTCATTCAAAGATATCCAATTGCACCACATAGTATATTATTATTGACTGTATTTAATGAGGGTATCAAATCATAGTAGTTGTAGAACTAATAGCGTTTGGATACGTATCAGAATTGTTTTGATGGCTGTTCTTTGTTGAAACATATTGTTAATTGCCTCTTCCTTGAACGTAACGCATAATTTCTCCACGCACCTGGCCATCTTCCAGTAGATTGGTGACCATGACGATCTCCCGAGATCCCTCCTGCCAGACCATACTCCAAAAGTCTACAGCCGTCGAGTTCAGGGGACCTGTGAATCATTGTTGGTATGTGAGTGTGTGTCGTTATATATCGTTCTTACCAACATTCCAGTAATACCAAAACGGTGGACACAAGAAATGGTCTTCTGCAACACCACATGGATATCCAACCGTCTCATCATAATTTACATGAAACTGTATGTCTATACACAACATTTCCAAGTTAAAAGAAACTATATTTTAGATGACATCCAATGCGTGGGCATACAGGTGTTTGGGTTACACATCGGTCACACAGTATTTCAGATTCAAGTAAGAAGCAAGCAAAACCACCAGCATGGGTATGATTCGAGCAGGCCCGGGGTTTAGGATCAATCTTGAAGTTGAAACCAGGAAAATAAGTCTGTGAGTCTTCAGGGATGGATATTGTAGCGTGTCAGACTGCTGTGTCTCCTGTATCCTATGTGATGTGGATGACTAATTATTTTAACTTTGACAACACATATGGCAAATAGAACTTTATACTTACCTTGCGCAGCTATGAATTTCAGAGGACTTTTAAAGCCCTGGAAAAAAACCCCAATGTATTCTATCAAAGTTCATGATTTCTGTCTGTTTGTTTGTTGTTTAACGCCGCACTATTCAATATACTATAACAATATTCCATCGAAATGGCGACAGTCTATAAATAATCGAGTCTGGGACAGACAATCCAGTGATCAACAGCATGGGAACTGGAGAACGCATTTGGGATACGATGACATGTGTCAACCAAGTCAGCGAGTCTGACTACCCGATTCAGTGGATTCTAACTGGGATCGTCACGGCTTGTTTATGAATGAAACACAATGAAAGCTTATGAGCTTGGTTTAAATGGCGGATATATAATACGTATAAACGTAATATAATCATGTTTTTGTTATATCATATTTATGCTCTTGCCTCTCTCTACATACGTGTATGTACGATGCGTTGATATAATCTGCCCCACTTTCGCTCTGTAAGTGCACCCGAGTATCGTCATCTGTTGATGATACGTGACAAATCGAAAGTGGTGCATACGAATGATAACATTGTAACGTATGTTATGTATTAACATGTACTGTACCACAGTCACTTTGGCCGAATGGAAAGGGTGAGTGAGTTACTTTGGTTTTTCCAGCAATGTCATGGCAGGGGACACCGGTAATGTGCTTCAGACATTGCACTCATGAGGGGAATCAACCCGCCTCTTCAGCGTGACGAGCGAACGCTTTATCCACTTGGCTACCCCACCGTCCCCATACCCGTAGGAATGTGTTGTCAAAACGATTGACGATTATCTAACTATTCATCATACGCATATGCTTATGAATACCTCCCAAATGATATACAAGATGTGTATGAAAATCTTAGGTATGCTGTCCCAACGGTTGGGCCATCACAAACACTTGAAAAGGCAAGTCAAGCATTCGCCAAGTCATATGACGATTTTGTTTTACAATATATCATCATTACATCCATGCATATATATCTTTTATGTTAGAGAATCCAACACGATATAACCGATCCCTGCTGTTTCTTAAGAACTTAAGACAAATGATGTTACATGCAAATAGTTTGTTGTAGCGGTTCTTGTGGAGATTTTCCTCTCTCGCTGCCGTCTCATATGTATGAGTGTTCCTCAGGCCGGCCGGTAACATCTGAAAGAGAGCGGCAGTCATATAAATAGTATTACGTTTTTAAGCATAAACGATAAGTGTTTACATTCTGCAGCAGCGTATGGCATCTTGACGTAATGCTACTTCCACTGGAAATTAGGGTCCATGCAGGAAGCAAATGTACTGTAAGTCCCCATGGTCGCTAGTATGGTGATCTACCTTCAGTTGTTGGCAATCTATAGCCGGTTTATATATTGTATTGCCATTTAAAAGTAACATATTTTAGATTTTATTACTAGTCTTAAATTTTTCCCTCTGATAATCTAGTAGTTTTACTGTCCTTTGTCGACAGGTGTTTTATAATGTAATTGTGTTTATTGTTAATTTATAACTTTTTAAGTCACAATATGGCTGAAATATTGCCGATGTGACTATAAATTTGAACTCACTCACTCCACTGGAAATTTGTTTTTCCAGACTCCAGAGAATACAGATCCTACTACATTTGTTTAGTTGAGTCCAATCTGGGATTTATACCCACACTGTCTGACAGAATGGATTAGATGGCTGACTTTGTGTGCTGGCGATTACGTGCCTTACTCTGAGAGTGTGGGTTCGAATCCCGGATGGGACTCAACCCATCAAAGGTACTAGAATCTGTATTTTGCTGAGAAAGTGTAATCCTATATTTAACACCTGTTACGTTTGATCAATATCTAAATTGCCTTGTGTATCCATAAGATGAAACTGGGAAGGTACTTGCCGCGTACTCCGTGGCGTTGTTAGCATCCAGCTTCTCTCTGATGTAGCTGGGGAGATTCGCCACACTAACAGCACTAGGGATGTGGCTCTGGAGGGATCCGTTAAGAGACGCAGATTTTTCCTCCGGGTAAGTAGGTAGTGCCACACTTTTGAACTCATTAAGATCAAACACTGTTGAGTTCGGCTGTTCGACTTCATCCATCTTAATTGCTTGATTCCTCACGGCAGCTGATTGATCATTCATGCATTACATGAATATCAAGTTCTCGTACAACTCTCAACCAACTATCAGTAGATGTTATATATTATGTATTTTTACGAGCCAATATGCACATGTTGACCCATATTAGCCACAACAGTTTGTCGTTGATGATGCCAATATGCCAATACCATTTTGTATGCTATACTTATGATTTTAGTTATATCAGGTCCCTTCTCGTGCCCTTGGCACTCACTCACCCAAACTCATGCACACACGCACGCACGCACTCACTCACTCACTCACGCACCCACCCACCGATCATGCTCGCTCACTCGACAACCAACACACTCACTCGGTATGTAATACATTGCTCGGTTACCTCTGGCTTCTGCATCCTTTGGGTTATACCTTTTTTTAATTCCATTTCTGAAAAGTATAGAGATCGGTAATGCATACACAAGTGCTCCAAATGACTAACAGTTTTGGGTGAACCCTTGTGTCAATATTTACAGACAAATTAGAATACGATAAATACGAATTTTAATGACACTCGTGAAATTGAAACAGCGGTGTCATATTAACTTGTCCTTGCCTGTGACAAAACAAAATGTGAATACGACGTGATGGTGTTATCAGTAGACACAGATGGGTTTACCTGCAGACAACTGCCACTACGACGATAATCAGCAGCAGCACGACCACTCCCACTACTGCACCAATCATCGTCCCTGAAATTCACCAAACTGGAAGTTCTTGAAAGCAACTGGGTGACATGAAACAACTATTACGTGACTTACTTTACTGACATCGCTCATACATATTGATTAAAACACTTTGCTTCCTACCTCTTGCATGGATGTAAATTGATCTGCTCGTTGAAATGTTTAGTAAGCTGTTTGGGTATATCTTAAATTACAAACGTCCTCACGGAAATATAATGTTTTTTGGAGTTTATTTCGTAGTTTTGAACACAACTAAAGTTTCATTGTTAAATATTCTCTGACTATCGTTTTTCACATTTTTTTGTTTTCAACACTTTTCGTAAAATCATCCGAAATAGATGAGTTTTACAGGAGAGCAAATGGTGTCATTTGTACCCCTTGAAATTTCGTCAAAGTTAAAATGTACATTTCTGATGCAAGCTATGGTATGCAAATGAGATGTAATCTCCATAGGTTCGCGTAAATAAGATATTTTATGCATAATGTTATATACCATTCATCCTTCATTTCTAATAAATCTTAATTGACACACAAAATAATTGATTTAGGGATTTCCTCATTACATGTTTCATATATTTAACAATGACACTTATTGAAAGTTGACTATTTTTATTTTTACGAGTTGATAGCTTGGATTGTCAATTGCACAATCGCTATGGCAACACAATCGCTATAGCAACACAATCGCTTCCCGTCAAAACAGTGCTGCAGGTAGTTGTTACCACCCACTTCTTGATAGTGACGTAAGTTATAGCATGTTTCTATTTTATTGAAAATATACAATCTTTTTACCTGTAAAATGGTATTTTGAATGATGAATAGCGGATCAACTTAAAAGACCTAGTTGGGACAAAACATAGTTGTTTTCATATTTGTTAAAACGACCTATTTTAATGAAGTAATAAACAAAGAAACTCCCGAAACAATTTTATTTCTACTTCCGTGAGTACTTTACACCTCCACCCCCTGCTTGACTGTGTTGAATTCTCCATCATAAGGGATACATATTTCAATATCAAAACAGTAAAGGACCTTTTTAATAAAGTTAATTATCATTTAATCATTGATTTTTTAAAAGAGATAGATTTGTTACATGAATTTTGATATATGTTTTGTAAATAGAGAAAGTTATTCAATTGGTAGTTCAGATTATCAACTTAGATTGTTGGTGGCTGTATCCTCAAAGGGAGTTGAAGTAGCGTAAAATTATTGTCCTCCTGAGAGGGTACGTAAGTCCCAAAATTGTCAAAGTCAATCTTGCTCAACCATACTTTTTAATCGTAGTATATTTGTTCCTTTAAAATTCGGCTAAACTTTTCCTACAATCGCCAGCGGCTGAAGAGATGGTGTAAGTCCAACTAAGGTCCATGCAGGTAGCAAAGGTACTGTAAGTCCCCGTGGACCCTAGTATGATCAACTACCTTCAGATGCTGGCGATCTATAGCCCGTGTTTTAAATTGTACAGTCTTCTTCAATTAAAATGCTTTAGATTTACATTCTAGTTTTATATTCATATCTGTGATACTCTAGGATTTTTACTGTCCATCTTCGACAGGTTTAACTCTTCACAACATTTTTATATTGTATGCATTGTTTTTGTCACGATATGGCTGAAATATTGCCGATGTGACGTTAAATATTAACTCACTTACTCACTCACACCTCCACCCGCAGGGGCGGATACAACTTTTTGGGAAAGGGGAAGGGGAGGGTGCACACTCTTGAGAAAAGGGAGGGTGCACACTTCATTTTCACCCGTTTTCACGGGTCATTTAATAAACTTTCAGGACAAAAGCAGGGGTGGCACATGCAACTTAAGAACTTCATGAATATGTACACTATTTAATTAAGTTCCATGTTATAATTAAGTAACATTAACAAAGTGGAAGAAACACTAAGCGCCACGCTACTAATAAACAACATCCTCGTGCAGTCTTAGTAGACATGTCATGAGCAAATAGATTCTCCAAGACAGCATATTTTCATTGACAGATGCAATGTCAAATTTCAACTCATGAGATCATATATTTTGGATGCGACATGTTGTGCCCGCCCAAATTATTCACTCAGTTTGCATTTTGCCTATCAGTATTTCATTTACCTGTATCTGCAACAGCAGGTTGTGTCGTTGGTTTTGTTTGCGACGTTGTTGAGGTCTCTGTTGGAACTGGTGCAGCGGTGCTTGTTTGGGATGATGTCGTGGGCTTGGTCGTTGTTATGGACGTGGTGGTGGTTGTTGACTCTCCTGTATTGGACATAGTAGACATGGTAGAGGACGTTACTATCGGGTCAGCTAAAGAAAACCAGAAATGCATTTCCATATGTTGTATGAACCTTGAATTGGACGTAAGGATATCTTAATACCACAAATGTATCTGAAATGAAACGTAATTGCATCAAAACAGAAACGAAACGCTTCGCCTTTGATTTAAATATCAGGGTACCGTTCCTCAAAGCAATCGTAGCGTTAAGGTGATCGTAACTCCTATGCTTTAACATAGACTTACGACAGTCGTACCGCTACGATCGCTTTGTGGAACGGGCCCCAAGTCAGTTGAAGATGACAACCGCACAGAAGTTTGATGGATTTCCTCTTAAATATCTCCGAGAGCCATCGAAATGTGGTACAAGAACATTGTCTTGAATGTCAGTGATGTACCGTCGCCCATTCAGATTTTGTGTGAACGTGAAACGGTCAAGTTTACAGTCATATGATGGGAAACACTACACCATAAAATGAATCCAAGGATTACTTGCTCCAAGATACTCCGTTGTGCAAGTTTAAAGTGTTTCTGCGGTGTTAGTCACGAGCTCGACCATCAGTCATGAACGACGAAATCCACTTTCGTCTCACCAGTGGATCCTTCCCCCCTGACGTCAGTGGCATCGAGCTTACACCAAGTTAGTCATAACTGCTGTGAGCTCTGGGGATAACAACGTGCGTCTGATAGGTTGTCTGGCTCTATACCCTGCCGAAGTTAGGTAGTTTTGGACCAATCTGATGGACAAACGACGATGTGGAAGCCACTCTGATTTAACTACGCCACTTGACAAAACGGGTAATGTCTTGGGATTCTGAGAATGCCTGTATCCTCCCTATGAGTTGTGACTCGCGGTCGTCGTGAAAGCTGACGGAACATAACATCCTTAGTTTGCTGATGTTTTCTGGCCAGTCGGCTGATGACAACTTAACCATCATCTACTGACAAGCCCTGAACGACATGTTAGCATTCAGTATACCAGTAACTTGCCATCTGTGAGAAGTTGTCTGTTAAGGAGGCCCTATATGTGTTTATCAACAATGGCATCAATTCATTTTCCAGGTGTAACAACAGTTTACTGAAACTTGACATTTACTTAATGACAGGTGATGCGCGTAATGCTCGCCTTAGACTGGAACACGTGCATAACTAAATTAATGTATTGTACGCCCGATGAGTCAAAATACTCATTCAAACAAACATAATTATGATATGAATATAAATTGACATATGGGAGTTAAAAATCACAGGTGTTGCGGTACTTTTACCATGTGTATAGTTAAACGCGAACGATACGTTACGCCGTTACGCATACGGGTACTGATTTAGACATTAGTTCCGTTGAAGATACAAACGTGCATATGAAGGTGAAGGTATTTCGTGTAGTCACGGCATCGTAGGCCTGTGCTATGCTTTATATTATGAATTCTAATGGTATCGAAGAACGAAATGAGTAAAGTGAGCGAAGGAGTTACAACGTATAGTCACATTGACTTTATTTCAGCACCATCCTGACTAAACAAGTTATAAGTGATATACATTTTAATTATACAAACCTGTCGACAAAGGCCAGTATAAGTAACTAGAAAATCACAGAAACAGTATTGAAAATCTCTAAATATCTCTACAATTTAAGTTATATTTAGAACAATACAAATTACAAACGTTCTATGCATCGCCAGAAACTGAAGGTAAATCACCATACTAGGGACCATGGGGAAGTACAGTACTGACAGATTTACACGTTCCCTTAAGCCGTTGACACATAAATTGAAATCAAAACTATTCTACGTTATGAATGCTGATAGACTTATACGTAGGCTGAAAGAGGACCATAATTTTACAATGCTTCAAACTCTGTGTGGATACAGCCACTAACAATATCAGGTATTAATATAAACTACAAACTATAAAGCATATACTTGTTTAAAAAACAGGTTTCAAATTTTATGAAACAATTCAATTTCTTATAACAATCCAATAATTAAATGAGAATTGACATTATGGAAAAGATCCTTCACTGTTTTTACAATGAAATATATATCCTTTGTGATTGAAAAATATGAACAAAATAATGTATCGTCATTGACTAAATACATGTACATAAAACTTCTACCGTATATTTCCATAGATTCAGCATCATCGCACCTTCTGTAGGTTGGCGATTTGGTGGTACATTTGCTGGAATCAGCAATATATCTCTCCTTGTCAAGATTATTTTGTAGTTTTGGAATCAAGTACAAAAGAGGAATGGGCATGTCTTCAGGTGTAATAGTCAAGACAAACGCTGATAGCGCTGATGAATGGTTTAGGCAAATACATATATTTCTAGTACCGTATATTTCCACCTCGCAGAAACTCAGATTCAGCATGCTAGCTGTAGGTTGGCGATATATCCGGAGATGGATCCCCGTCAGGGGTACATCACACTCCAGGGTGTACTCTGCTTCCCACATGTAGGAAGAGTTCGCGATGTGACATATTCTTCCATCTACAGACACATGTATGTCATCCTGTTGATCTGGAATATGTTGAGAAGAATGAACCAAATACCTTACACTAAATACAGATTCGGGTGTTTTTAGCATTGCTGTAACATAATAGCTGGTCAATTAATGTTTAAGATGTCTCATATAAAGTACTTGTCTGATATAAAGACCTTGTCAGTATTAGTACTATTAATTTTGTCCGTATTAGTACGCATTCGTTATTTTGTGTTTCTGATGACACGATACCTTCCCAGAATATCTTGATCCTGGTAACTGTCCTGCTCTGTGTAAACTCCGCCTCCCATGCTGGGTATAAGGACGAGACTGATGCACACGGTCCTGACGTCACACCATCAGTAACCCAGGATGCCTGTCCAGTGATGGTGTAAGACTTGTTGTCCCCAGATGTAAAGTTACTCGCTGCTATATTATCTGTAATAATAAACAGTATCATTATCCGTGGTATGATAAGTTCATCACATTCCAATATGGTGATTCAGGTTGGAATAACTGTACGTACTGCATGTAGAATCCAGAAAATGTTCTTTTACTTCGGCTTGTCATCACGAGTTGTTTAAAACGTTCCAGTATCTTGCATCAGCTTTCAGCATTAGTCTATTGTTATATCTTCATCTCAATCAGATTGGACACTATTGTATCGTTTTCTGCACTACATTCTTTATATTGTGTTGCTACTACTTACACTTAATTTAATTTAAAGTAAAAACGTAATATCTACACATGAACCTAATGTGCTAACATAAACACTAAACTAATTGCAATGCGATTTAAATGTACATGATGTCTTATTGTGCATCATTGACAAACATATTCCGTTCGCAGTTATGGGCAACATATTAAATAAATAGGTAACTGAAAAGCAGGTGTAAATTGTAATCCTGACCTGCCTTACCTGTAACAGCCATAATCAAAACATCGATATCAACGTTACCTGCGGTACAGTTCTGGGTGCAGCTGGGGTCTTGGCCGGGCACTGTAACACACATAGGCTTTGGGTTAACATGTGAATATGGAATGGTACATCAGTCCATAAAATGGTCATTCATTGATTTCAAGGCACGTCGGTGAACGTACAGTGTATGTTTATTGTGCATTATTTGTTGTGGTTTATGCACATTTATGTTTCCGTTGACCAGAAACGTAGATATTTCCTCATTCTCATCAGATGTATGTTTGTCTATGTGTTATTAGAATTACTTGTTGTGGTTTATGATCATTTATGTTTCCTTTCACAAGGAACGTAGGTATTTCCTCGTTGGCATCAGATGTAAATGAGTGTCTCACCTTGCGGGATCCATACAGCCATCAAAATCAAGTAAACAATGGCGTTCTGGGTAATCATGATTCCACACTTGCTGATTGAGACATGAAATTAATTCATCCCTTGAGGCCACACAAGTACATCCATTAAGAAGCAACTAGTTCAGAAATGAAACTACAACCACACCCGTGACAGTTATTCAAGCATGCAATGAGGTACTCCAACCAGCTCACTTCCTCACAGCCTTTTGCGCATTTGGCTCGACACATTGCCGGTAGATATTCATATATGCGTTGATATATTCACGGAAATATATTCACAGAGATAGGACACATTCAATAAAACGAGCATGGTGTGAACAGTCATCGAAAACTGCGTCCCATGTCCTAGAGTACACAATGAGAAATGTTCAGTGAAAAGGCCTGCTTCAATGTTCTTACTAAGAGGACATGTAGTGGATTAAAGGATCATATGCAGTGTATTGGAAAACGCCAGTGCGTCAAGATTGTGATCATTTTCCTCCTGATAAGCAATATGTGACCAGACTGTTCTCATCACGTGTACCTGTGATAAAGTATCAGAGTTATCACTGTAAAATTGCACAAACTAAAAACGCCATATATGCAGGTTACAATGGTTGCAAAGCTGCATTCACTTCCTCCTTATCAAGGGGGTAGCCTAGTGGTCAAAGCGTTTGCCCGTCACGCCGAGACCCTGGTTCGATTCACCACGTGGGTACAATGTGTGAAGCCCATTTCTGGTGTTCCTCACCCTGATATTGCTGAAATATTACTAAGAGCGGCGTAAAATTAAACTCACTCATTCCCAGGCCTCCTTATCAATACTGCTGTTCATCGGCTTGCATGGATAATATATTGTTGTGTGATGAACACATATATCTCCAGACTCTGGGAATGATATTAATACATGCTGCAACACAAGGTAAACTCGCTGGCGTGGTTGCCATAGTGTCCCAATTGCGTAAATCGATGATCATGGCGTCAATGACAGGGTTCTCAAGTCCAGACCTACAGAACGATAAATTTACAGTAACGAATTCGAAACAAAATGTCCAAAGTCAAATGTCTGAATAGAAAAGGTAATTTGAGGGATTTGTTACACCCGGGTTCTTCTTCGGTTGGCAAATATATCTGTATGAAACACAGTCCCACTCCATTTAGAAGACATGACATTGCACTGATGAAGATGTTGATATTTACACATCATGTGTACTACAAAGTGAACGGTAAACCAGGTGATCTGTAGGCTGTGACATGTCATGCAAATACAACATGTGGCCATTTCAGGAACACGAAAATAAACGCAGCATCTCATTGAGAGTGCTCACACCTGAGGTGATCCCTGTTTGATGGTGATTCATAAGCACATGATTCTGATGTAGTCAGACTATTCATTATAGAATGGAGGTTGTCGCCTTATACAAATATTTGTAAAAGAATTATGATACGATTGATATCTGAATAATCGTGCTTCGTGTTTACAGGAAAATGTGTGTAGGTCTTTTGTGTGATAACTTTCCTCGTGATAAGCAATATGTGTCACGGATGTTGTCATAAACGGTATGATCTGCAATGAGGTATCACTATATTTTGGGCATCTCCCATAAATGACTCAACTGCCACAGCAACTACTGTAACAACTAATAACCTCCCAGTGGCTGCTCAATACTATCAGGATAGGACACTGACTAACATGGTACAGCAGGGCGTTGTTTGCTGGTCACAAATCAGTATTCACCTCCTCACGGTGAACGTACAGGATGATGAGCGTGATACGTCAATGCCTGACAATAGCCAGTCGCGATTATCAAACAAAACATATTCCACTTAGGGTGTAAACAGGAAAGTAAAGCTAACAAATTTGGGTAAATCACTGAGAATCAGTATGGGCATCAGGATTTCACGAATAATGCAAATGCCCCCTGCACCACCACTAGCACAGGCTAATCTAACAATGTGACAGGTTTTTCCGTGTTGTTGGAACTGTTACACTTCACTTGCCTTTGGGACAGAGCTACCCAACCCTGATATGATAACGGTGTAGCCTGGACTACCCCTTACTTGGCAATGTCAGAGAGCGTGAGCTTCAGAGCTATGCACTCCCGGCTAATTTCGAAATGTGTTGTTGCTGGCGCGCGTGTGTGTGTCGTGTGTGCACTGTTTCGAGGCCGTTTTAGAGGTAGTTATACATGTACAAAATAGCCACAATGTATATTAGGAGGTATTTTACCTATTCCAACTATGGTTTCAGACACATCTTCAGGCGTCATTGCTTAAAATTTCTGACTGTTGGTAAGGTCGACATTGAAAGCCTTGCCTGGGTGAAATATTGTTTTGTGACGACCGCATTCATTTGTAGTCCTTTGAAAAGGTGTGATACATATATACATGCATGATGCACACCTTTTTAAAACGATTTCGCTGTATTTAAAGGATCTGAATGGTCTTGCTAAAGAGTTACGGTCACAGGTTTGTTACTGGTATCAAACAAACACTTATGCCAATATGTATAGGAAAACAGTCACCATTGATGATCAAAGGATAAACAGCTGTGTATCTGAAGTGTGTAAAAGTCACCAAATGCAGGTATGAGGCTACAGTTTGCGGGGTCAAAAGGTAGAATTTGTTTGGCTGAAAGACTAAAAGGGACGGTAAACGAAACCGTTTAATTATTTGTGTATTTTGGGGGGAATATTCCAACTATGAAAGGCGTAAGGCTAAATTTTGAAATGAGTAAATAATCAAACAGATCAGTGGAGGTTACACAAGTTATACTGGGCCAAAAGAAATTAGGTTTACAATCACGAAAGGGAATACCATAGTAAAATCCGCAGAAGATGAGACTCTTTATATTTATTCATTTAACAACTTTGAGAAGCCGGTATGATGAACAGGTACTTTTTATGGACAAGTTTGTTATTGCAATTGAGGCATCGTTTCGATGTAGATGCTAACACCGTTATCAAGCAAGTGATATACAACATTATGGACAAGGGGATTATATACATGGACGATATTGGAGTTATACAATTATTCTATTCATGAAACGCTGAATACACATGCAACATATCTTTTTGAAGAATGTCAGTTACATTTCGTTAATTGGTGCCGTGTAGAAACGCAACCATTCGAAGCTTTTGAAGCTTTATACAGTATTATACATATATTAAGCAGAATTAACGTGAACATTGTGACAGTTATGGGCAGTGTTAATGACTTTCAAAGGTAAAAAAGCGGTGCGGCAGTCTGCAACATGGTGTCCTTCATGAGGCTAGCCTTGCAGTCACGTGGCAATGGCTGTTGTACCGGAATATGGAAATTAGCCTCTATGTCCAGGTTCACCTACTGACTATCAGGTGTTTTGAACACCGAGCCCTTACGTTAATATTATGACTTGGTGGTTGTCACAGATTGCTGGTAGATGAACTAGCACTTGAAAGACAAAACCATTCCACTTATGAAAACATATGTCAATCAGTTTATGTGTTCGAAAACGCGGTCACACAGTTTTTATTTGGCCATCCAGCCTAACCAGCGCATATATGATGAAAGTAATTGAATATGATGGCCTATATGGAAAATATTACAGCATTAATAGCTTCATGCGAGTTAGGTTTCACCTGAATGACAGCAGGGATCAATCAAGTGCAGATATTTAAGGTATTTTCGTACAAACTAAAGTGATTAGTACTAAGATACATGTTTGATTCTCCCGCTGCTTCCCCGATGTCTTGATAGAGACCAACGTTGACATAACATGACGTGCCAGTTGACACATTCTGATCATTAACGTATTCGTTGTAGACATATGTGTATTTGTTTTCCCTTGTGTTTTCACAACTGGTAGAAGCTGTCGTGTTAACATAAATGGATCCTTGATCTGACCATCCCCTTGGTGTTTTGTGGCTTTGTATGCTCTGGTACCGAGTATGATCGACGGGTTCCGCTACACACAGTTCATAAGATGGCATGACTGCTTCTTCAGCGTCCCTGGCTTGGGGCCTTTGTCCTGTCTGCCCCCTGAAACATCGAATTATGAATATGATATTACAATGGTGCTTCCTAAAATGATTCAAAATTTAGAAAATGTGATAATTGAACTGGGTCAAGAGAGTGATATAGCGAGAGTGAATCGGATTGTGAAAGTAACTGACATTGTAAAGTTAGTAAATCAAGCTTGACTGTAAAAACACTTCAAGTAAAACATGAAATTATGTTTTTTGTCAAAAGTGTTTTTTTCTGGGACAAGTACTGTAACGAATCCACGTATGCATGTTTCGCACGAACATTAATAACATTCTCTGCTCCCCTATTTAATGGAGCTCAGGTCAAGCTGAACAAGCTGTACTCATGTCATTAATATTCTACATCTTGACAGAGGTGTTATTTACAAGTGTAGACGAAATGTTCCCACTGCCCAAATGTGCAGTGGAATCCAGTACAATTTCACCATGAATTATTCCAGTAAAAGCATGAGGACCTAAGTGTTTTGACATTATCGTTGAAATTAACAGTTCCGGTGAAACAACCAAACCATATTCCTCTGATAGAAGAGAGGTACCTACGTCATTAATATTATACATCTTGACAGAGGTGTTATTTATATGTGTCGACGGAGTCTCAC